AAGCGCGTCGACGACGGCTTCGGTGTCGGCTTCGCCGTCGCTCTTGCGAAGCTGGCGCACGGCATCGATTACCTTCATCATGCGGCGCACCCTCGTCCCGTGTGCTCCCTGCGAGGCTCCGTCGAGGAGGGTGTGGCGGTCGACGAATCCCGGCTCGAAGAACCTGTCGCACAGACGACGGGTGTCGGCGCTGGTGCACGAGGTCCAGAGGCGCCACGCGTCCCTCACGGTCGTTGCATTCCGCCAAGGCTGAACCACGTTCAGCTCGTAGCTAGCCTCCTCGACCGTCTGTGGGGGTTTTTTGGGTTTCTTGGCTCCGTCACCCCTGCTTGCCGACTCCGCGGAGCCACCGTCGCTCGGCGATTGTTCGTTCGCAGCTGGCGGCGCCTCCGGCATCCTACGAGCTTCTGAAACGCGGAGAGCCTCGGTGAGGCGGGTTATCTCGTCCGTCATCGACGCGATGGTAGCGTCGCGCTGCTCGAGCTTCTCCTCGAGGTCGATCTTCTCGACCGCTGACCGCTCCCTCTCGAGCTTCAGCGTCGTTGTGAGGGAGACGACCGCGTACTGGGCGTCATGGCGGACCGATATCTCCTGCAATGTAGGCGAAAAACGGTGCAGGTGAGGTGTTGTCATCGGGCACAGTGCTCATGGCGATGTCGACATAAAGATGACTCACCTCTGGCTGGATGAGGGTTGGGTCTTGCCGCTTTTTGATGGTCTCGGTGTCGGTCTTCTCCACCCTCTTCGCCCAGTGCTGGAAGAGGGGAATCCGGCAGAGCTTGGAATACTGGACGTACGGGTGCCAAGGCGTGCGGACGAGTTTCACAGCGAGGTCCTCGGCGACAATGCGGCGGAACATCAGGAGGGTGCGCCAGAAATGCACGGCAGCAACGTCGGCGTCGGACCCCTTCTTCGCGAGTTCTTCCGCCTGCAATTAGACAACAGACGTGGGTAATTACCGTGGTTGAAAGTACAGTGCCATGCGATGCTTGGTCGGTACCGATCGACATACATTCTTAAGGAGCTCGTCGACGCCGGGGAAGATGTGCTCGGCGATGAGCTTGAGAAGCTCGTCCGACGGTTCCACCCTGCTGCGCCCCAAGAAGTAGTCCTGCGTGTAGCCCGAATAGCCGGCCTTCTTCATCACCACGCCGACGGGAATGGCTGTGATGTAGGCTCGAGTCATCTTGTCGAGAGCCCAGTGACCCAGCTCGGCTATCTCGGCGCGAGGCGTACCGTTGATGGCCAGCTCCTGCGCCCCGCCTGCCCGAGCGGCATGGACGTTCCGCTTGCAGTACACCCCGTTCGTCTTCCACATCTGCCTCGTCCATCGCTGGTGGCTGGCAGCGGAGAGTTCGCCCTGCTCGGGGTCGTTGCGGGCGAAGAACAGGTGCTTCTTGTACCAGCGCTCGCGTGTGCTGGTGTCGACCGGCGGAATGAGGTCGACGCCGTGAAACTGGCCGATCTGGTCGAGGATGAAGTGTAGCCACAGTCCGGTCTCGCCGACGGCGCACAATTCCGCTTCGAGGTGCCGCGCGGCGTAGCTCTGCTGAAGACGCGCATCCTTCGACGTCTTCGAGTTCCGCGCGGCGACCACCATGACGACCGGCTGGTTATCCGGGTTTACCGACGAGGTGCTCGCCAGTCGGTACAAGAAGATGTCGGGGAGCGTGATCTCGCGGATGCTTGCACCGCGCATGAGGCTGTGGTGGGAGAGCAGCGTGAGCACCTTGACGAGAAGGAACCTCCACAGCGTCTGCGAGGGAGTGGTGAAATGCGGGCTCCATGCCGACGCCGCCCAAGCCGGCAGCACCCTCGTCATGATCTGGCGGAACTGTTCGGCGGTGTATGTGTCGCCGATGGTGCCGCGTCGACGGTCGGCGCAATTACTGTCGACAGAACAATACGGCGGTAGGATTATTAGGGCGATGGGAACAAATCGTCACCGACTTACTAGGAAACGGCGCTAAATGCCAACTTACTTGATGTCCCTCTGGTTTTTGGTGCGGACCATGACCCGCACCTCCGACCGGACAACCGAGATTTCCCGCATGATGCCCAACTCCTTCTCCTTGTAGAGCGTCGCCTCCACCGTCGCCGCCATCTGGCAGGCCTTGAGGCGGCCGAGTATCATGTGCACCGTGTAGGACGGCACCGGCGCGTTCGTCTCGGCGTCGATCTTGAACTCCCGCCTCATGAACTTGACGTAGGCGCGCAGCCGCGTCGGAGTGACCTTGGGGCCGTGCAGCCAGATGTGCTTCCGTTTGACCACCTTCGGGTTGTCCCAATCCTTGCTCTTGTTGCAGTGGATCCAGTGCCCGATCTCGTCGACGTGCCTAGTTCGTTCCCCGATCGGCAGCTTGTCGCCTATCTCTTTGAGCATCTTCGCGGCCCACCTCTTGTAGTGGTAGATCCATGAGATGTAGGACTGGAGCGTGCTCTTAGCCTCGATGGTTTTCAGGTGGCGCAATGCCTCCATCACGAGCACGTCGACGCACGCGTACACCATATCTTCCTCTACGAAGTCGGCCGCCTTCCACTGTTCTCGAGGGACCGACGTGTTCATCAGATCCTCGAGCTCGTCCTCGTCCAGAAGTTCCTCGATGAACGCACGTTCCCCCCTGAGCTTTTCTTCCAACGTGCGCGGACCTGGGCCACGTCGGGGCCGCGCGTCGGCTTCGTCGTCCTCGTCGCTCGCCGAGGAGTACCCTAAACCCTGGTCGCCCGATACGTCCGGCACCGACGACGGCCCGGCCTCCGCTGCATTCGTCGGTGCCGACGTGTCTTTGCTTGGTTTCGTGAACTCCCCTATGGGCGCGGGTGGAACGTCCTTGGTGAACTCTCCCTTCGGGATTTGGGCCAGGGCGTCGAGATCGTAAAGCAGGGGCAGCGTCGACGAGGGGTTACTGTTCGGTGTACGATCTACCGGGCGGACATCCTCACCCTGGCTAGCGGGGTTCGGAACGTCCGTCATGTCGACGTCGGCGGGTGGTGGCTGCGGTTGCGGCGGTGTCGAGCGAGGCTGTGCTCCGGCCATGATACCGCGACCTAGGGTCTCGCGATGGGAAGTCGGTGTGGTGAGGTCGGTGAAATGAAACATGGCGTTTCTAAGTCGGCGGTATCTGACAGGTCGGCATCGCAGACAACACTACGAGACGGCGGCCCCGACGTCTGACTATTCTGACGACGCCGACGTTCCACGTCTGCCGACAATCTCCCGATGGAAAAAAAACTAAGGGCGAGCCGTCAAGGGAACGGGGAAAAAATCTAAGTGCCAGCTAACGGATGAAAAGCACAGAGAACGGCAGGCAGAATGAGCGACCTGCAATTGGACCCCAGATTGGTATGGTCGTGAGCGACTCCGCTCCACTTGGCGCTCCACGCAAACCCCTGTGCAGGACGCAGCTATGCATGTACGCTCGTGCGGCGGCGCCGTGACCGACGTGCCACCGGGCGTGCATGCTTGAAGCGCTTCGCTCATAATGCGCCTTTCATGGGTGTTACACGCTGGCTCTGTGGTGCGGTACGTGGCGTGGTCCCAGCGCGGTAGTTCGAGGGCGGGAGACACTGCCGCGTGGCACCACGATGAAGACCTTCTGGTCGACGCCGACATTCCCGCCAGTATCCACTGCACCTAGCCAGAGGTAGTGGACGGTCGGATTTCGCCTTGGGCATGTGGGCAACCGTTGGATGATGGCCGTGTGGTACGCACCGACCTGGCAGGCAACACTTGGGCGCGAGTTTTCCCACGCGAAGCACCCCCACCTTCCGTTGGCCCGTCGTGGCCACCCTGGCTGTCCACGATGGCCCCGCCATCCAGGGGTCGATCTCGGACGTCTCTTTTTTGGCCGCGTGGCGATCATCGCGGCCCGACGTGCCGAGCTGGGATGACGTCACGCGGCTGAGACGACCTTCTCGGGATTGTCTCAGCGGAACCCAAGGTCGACAGGTCGTCGACAATCCCGAGGGGTCACCAGCACTGGGCCCAGCCAGCTCGCCTGGGCTTTCCACGCGGTGGTCGTCGTGGGGTCGACAACCCCGAGGAGGGGGGTTGTCCGTTCTGGCCCGCGAAAATGGGCGGCCTTTTTCGTCCGCTGAGCTCTATTATGCTGAAGGTTCGACACAATCAATAAAGCAGGAATCGTCGGAAGGTGGGTGAATAGCGAAATGTTTCGTGAATGGGAGGGTTGGCGGGAGCGATGCAACGGCGAAGTGCGGCCGAAAGTAGTGGGACGGAGGGGGGATATGTGAAACAGAAAAGACGCTCCGCAAAAGAAAGGCTTCGTTACCATCGGTGAATGTTGAGGAAGGACTAAGACCAGAACGACTCTTACATAATTTAGGTAGAGATTATGGAGGCTGATTTAGGAGGATCAGATGCCACCAAGGAATATATCATACTACCAAGGCCACAAAAATGGATGGATGCGGTTGGTCAGGGCCCAGTGTCTGGTTCAGAATAAATGCAGTTACTGTACATAGCGCCTTACTCGTGCGCAACACATTCTTTATGTGACTATGATGCCACAGAACAGAACAAGTACCGGCAGATGGTTGAGGGCCTCAGCTAGCTTCTTCAGAGTGTCCCTAATCTGAAGCCTATTTTAGGCTGGTATAACCACTCTATATACAGTGCCCATGTGCAATCACACACACACACACACACACACACACACACACACACACGCACGCACGCACGCACGCGCGCACGCACGCACGCACGCACGCACGCACGCACGCACACACACACACACACACACACACACACACACACACACACACACACACACACACACACACACACACACACACACACACACACACACACACACACACACACACACACACACACACACACATATTGGATGGCTGAGCAGGGCTCCAGGTGATAGCTTTTTTGAGATTATGAGACTATGATGCCGCCAAGAATGAATGGATCACGAGGGCTGCAGCTTCTTGGACGTTCTTTGAAGGGTCCCCAGCTCTATGAGATAATGAGACTACGATGCAGCCAAGAATGGATGGCTCAGCAGCGCTGCAGCTGTTGGCCTCTCTGAGGGGTTCCGGTTCAAGCAGGATGCGACAAAGTCTGTGAACTCAGGTGAAGAATCAGCTGGAAGCTCAGGTAGATCTCGACTGTGAGCAATGAACAGCTTCACCTGAGACAACCAAAATAGGGCAAGAGAGTAAAAAGGGTTAAAAAAAAAGCAAAATGGTAAATATAATCACCACTTAGAGATGGCAAAGCAAGGCAAGGCGAATGATAATAGAAATTTACAGATTGTAGCTCCACGTTGTTTCCCCTCTCCCTGTCCCTGCCCTTGACATCGAATCCTGCTACAGCATCCCATGCTCACCTGCTCGCTGTCTGTGATGTCAGCCCACGGCTGTGCTCCAGTGGCCATGGCCATAGCCAGGCACCCCAACGCCCAGACATCTGATGGCGGCCCCTCCCCTTCCTCTCTAATGGCCTCAGGAGACAGGTGTGCCACCCGGCTGTCCTTGTACCCATGGCTGCAATCATTGGCGCAATGATGACTGCAATCATGACTGCGGCTGCCGCGTCTCCAGGGCGCCCCGTGCCTGTGGGAGTCCAGCCAAGCGATGCCGGCCAGCCGCACGATCCCGTCGTCTGGCACAAAGACGGTGGAGGGACGGACGTTGCCATGGGTGATACCGTGGGAATGCAGCGAGTGAAGGGCCTCGACCACCTGAGGAAGCGTGGGGGAGGGAGGGACAGTCAAGGGAGCAGATGGGTGAGGGGAGAGGCGTGCGGAACGGATGTTGCTGTGGGTGATGCCATGGGAATGCAGCAAGTAAAGGGCTGTGAACCACCTGCGGAACCCGCACTACACTCACTGCTTCTCACCTGTCAGAGGCAGAAAGCAAGTGTGTCTTCCAGCATGGGCCCGCACTCCTGCAGCTGCTGGGAGAGCGGCGGCGACGGCACAAACTCAAACGCCGCAAACACCACCACCGACGCACTCTCACACCCAGACTCCCCATGAGGGGAAGCAGTAGCACCAGGAGCTGCTCTCTTTGCATTGACAGCCGTAGCAGCAGCAGAAGCACCGGCAGCAACAGGGTTGGCTCGAATGGCTCCAAAACAAGGCACCACATTCTCATGGCTGTGCTTTAGCAGCAGAGCCACCTTCCTCTGAAGCTCTCTCACTCTCCCGCCCTCCACACTCTCTCGTGTCTTCGCCTCAACCCCATTCCCGCTCCCACTACCACCAACACACCCATTCTTCTCTCTCGCACCTTCCTCCCAAACCTCCAGCCGCTGCACAACGAACCTCTGGCCCGAGCCTCGGTCCTCGATCAGGCTCAGCCTCGTGCCGAGCCTTGAGATGAGCCTCTACTTCTCATGTAGGTTCGGGATACTACCCGTTTCAGGCATCCCCTCCTCTCCCTCCTCATCCTCCTTCTGTCCTGCATTTCCCTCCTCTCCGTCCTTCTCCTGCTCCTGCTCTGCATTTTCCTCCTCTCCCTCATTTCCCTCGTGTGATTCTGTTTCATTCATCCAATCCTCTCTTTCCTCGTCCCTATCTCCCTCCTCTCCCTTGGTTCTTCGTAAACACTGGAGTCTCATACTTGCCAGTAACTTGGAAGCTTCCTTCCCTTCTGATACGCCCACTGACGACCTTTGCCTCGGCTCATAGGGAACCATAACCCCTGCCTGTGCCGCCACCGCTGCTGCTGCTTATGCTGCTGCTATGTCTGCCCTGGCTGCTGCTGCTCCTAATTTGGCTCCTACTTCTGTTGCTTCTCGTGTTACTCTCGCCCCTCACCCTGCCTCTGCTCGTGCTGCTGCTGCTGCTGCTGCTGCTGTGGCTGCTGCTTCTCGTCCTCTAAGCCTCCCATCCACCACTGCCATTCGTTGACGAGCCACATCTTCCAATGAGATTCTTGTACGAGGCTCGGGCTTCCTAGGCTCGAACTTTCTAGGCTCGGGCCTTTGAGGCTCGGAGACACTGTAGTTGGGGTTCCTAGGTCCACCGCAGCTAGGCTTGGCATTGCTGGGATTGGCGTTGCCAGGTTTGGCAGATGAATTGGGAGACCAAGGTTCAGAAGTTTTGAAGCTTGGATGGCTGAGGCTCGGCGGGAGTGTGGCTTCGAAGTGAGCGAATGAATGGAACATGGCCAGATCTTCAGGAGAAAGCTCAGGTGTTCCTTCCCGTATGTCAGGTGCGCTTCTGCACAGCTCAGGTGCATTCCGGCGCAGGTCAGGTGTGCTTTCAGGTGGTACGGGCAGGTGAGCTTGTGGGACGGGGTTGACTGGGGAGGGGCACGGAGGGGAGGGGGCCAAAAGATGGGGGCAGAGAGAGGAGAGTTGAGAGGGCTAACTGGGTTGGCTTCGGTTGGTGCGTGTGAAGAAGGGGTTCAGAGTGCAGGGGAGACAGTGAGCAGGGGGGAAAGAGAGTGAGTAGGGGGGAAGAGAGTGAGAAGGGGGGAGAGGGAGTGAGCAGGGGGGAAGAGGGTGGGCATGGGGGAAGGGAGTGAACAGGGGGGGAACAGAATGAGCAGGGGAAACAGAATGAGCAAGGGGAAAGAGAATGAGCAGCGGGGAAGAGAATGAACAATGGGGAAAGAGAATGAGCAGCAGGGAAGAGAATGAGCAATGGGGAAAGAGAGTGTGCAATGGGAAAACCGAGTGAGCTAGGGGCAAACAACCTGAGGAGGTGAGAAGAGAGAGCAAGGGGGAAGAGAGCAAGGGGGATAGAGCAGGGGGGAATAGAGTAGGGGGGGGGATAGAGTAGGGGGAATAGAGCAAGGGGAATAGAGCAGGGGGGAATAGAGTGAGGAGGAGAGAGTGGGCAAGGGGAAACAGAGTGAGGAAGGGGGGAGAGAGTGAGAAGGGGGGAAGAGAGTGAGCAGGGGGAAAGAGAGAGAGAGCAAGGAGGAAACAGAGTGAGGGGGGGGAAGAGAGTGAGCAGGGGAAGCATAGTGAGCAAGGGGGAAGAGAGGGAGCAGGGGGAAAGAAAGTGAGCAAGGGGGAAACAGATTCAGGAGGGGGGAAAACAGTGAGCAGGGGGAAACGGAGTGGGGAGGGAGGGAGAGAGTGAGAAGGGGGAAAGAGGCCTCCGCAAAAAGGAAGCAGCGGCGATAAAGGTGAAATGAACGAATGGGAAGGTGAAAGGGAGGAACAGGAGGGTAAAATGGGAGTTGATTAGGCTCGCAGGCTGGTAGGATGGGAGGAAGGAAGGAAGAAAGAAAAGCGGAGTATTTTGTTCGCATGAGAGGACGAGGGTGAGAGTGAGGGTGGGGAAATGGAGGAGGTGGTAAACACGGGCACTGGGAAGGGTAGAGAAGGCGAGGTGGACGGGAGGGGGAAAGCGAGGTCGATGGTGTTAGATAGAGGGCCCTACGACAGCAAGGGCCTCATGAAGCGTTTGACTTGGCAGGTTGACAAAGCTGACGGTCGTGACTTCGATCAGCTCTGCACCGTCGCTATGATTTAAGAGGCGGTCGCGAGTGTGGGTGCATAGGAATCAGTGCAGGGTGGCGTGAGTCTTGTAGAGTCAGGCGTGCTTCCTTGTGAGTCACGCCACTCCTTGCTGTGTTGGTGGAGTGGCGTGCACGAAAGCGAGAAGTCGATGCTGGGTTGGGTAGGAAACTAGCGAGGCGCGTTCACCCACCTACACAACACTTTCGTGAGGTTGCCGAAGCGCCACGCAACATTTGTGCATCTCTTGCCTGCCTATATCTATCTAATTTGTAAGTTTGCTTGTATCATTCATATTACAATTCTCGGGAAGTCCAAATGCTGCTTCAATTCTTAGAAGCAAACGCTACCGAAACGCTACCGAGTTGGTAGCGCAACACCGTCGTATTAGTAGAAGCTCTCTCGCTGTCGCAACGCTCTCTATTCTATTCCTTCATGGCGCGGTGAGCGTGGAACGAACACGCATAGATTTCCGTCGTCGATTATAGTCATTGGCGTTCGTATACTCACTTTGGCGTGTGGCATTAGCGAGAGGCACTTATTAATTTAAGTTGAACCTCTCTTAATTTCCCTCCAGTTACGTTCTTGGCCCCAAGGATAGGGCGTTAGGTAATTTATTACCACTCGTCTAAGGACCCTTGTGAGGTGACCCCGAGACGAGGGATTTAAGGAAGGAACAATTTATTTTAATTTGTGGAACATCTTATTGAGGCTTCATAGAGGATGAGTATGGAGGAGGCGAACGTTGAGGCCGGTAATCTTCGCGCACTAGAGGAGGAACTCAAGGCCTGACATTCTCGTGGTGAGATTAGTGACATCGAATACGAGCTCATGCAGGAGGGCTTACGTGCTCGTCGGCGTCGCGATTATCCCTCGCCACGTGTAGAGCAAGCCGCGGGAGGAACTAGTGCGTGGGATATGGCTGTCGATGGCGGAGATAGCGATGACGAGGAGCTTGATGGGCTGATGTCGTGTGGGGTCCTGTGAGGACCGACTCGGTTTAGTATAGCTAGCGTCAGCGGTGTACAGAAGCGTGTTCATCGCGCAACAACGTCACGAGAGCATGCGAATGTAGGATGGCGGAGCGTTGTTGGAGGAGGGAATGCGGAAGAGTACGATAGTGAGGCTATGCCGGGCGTTATCCCGATTGGATCGATGTCGAGGGACGAGGGAATAGCCCCCAACTATGGCTACTTCAAATTCACTCCAGACAAGATCGTCGTCCCTAGGCCGTTAGAAGGATGTCAAGACCTGTCGTCGTAAACAGAATTAATCACGCTGCAGCTTGAGATCGCACAGCTTAAGTGTTTCATCGACGGTACCACACCCATTCCCCCAGCGCATGCAGTGACGCTTCTCACACAGTTTCGTGCAATGCAGTTACTAACGTTCACTACCATTTCCCGATGCTGCTCCCTATTAGAAATGGAATGCGCTTAAGGGGTGTCGCATGAAGGTAGATGCCGGCTATCAGGCATGGCAGTTTATTATGCGCACGTACATGGCGAAGGACGATCTGTACATCGGTCAGTTAGAGCAGGCGCTCACTAACCTCGAGATGGGAGAGCACGAGTCTGCCACGTCCTATTACAACCGTGCACAGCAAATCCTAGTGAACCTGAGGATGGCCGACGCATATTACTCACAAGCGTCGTACATCACTCACGTTGTGATGTACGACGCTGCAGCAGCAGTATAACCTCTTACGCAGGATGCTGAAGCTGCCACAAATGCGCAAGGAGTTGGACGAGGACACCCTCGCCACATACTTTATCGAGGAGTAGTGTACGCTACGGCGGAGGGATGGAAGGACCAGTTTCTTCCCAAGGCTAGCCAAGTGTATACCAAGAAGGGTAAGCCCCAATTCCAACTGAGTTCATCCCCTTCCCCTCCCACTATGGCACAGCACGTGTGTGGGCAGCCAGGGCATGTCGCTAAGTACTGTCAGAAGCGGGCTGATATGGAGGCATGCAAAGGTGGAGAGGGCTCTGGAGGTAGCAGCGCGAGTGGCAAGGAGGGTGATGGCTCTAAGGGGAACGGACAGTCATCATGTGCGATGGTGAAGCCTGTTGAAGAGCATCCTCCTTCCGTCGTGCTGGAGCCTGAGGCTGGGGAGGGCTTAAAGGCTGTTGCAGCTGCTATGAAGGCGAACCCAAGTGTCGTGCTACTTGATAGCGGATGCTCCCACCATCTCATGGGAGATCGTTCTGCCTTTGTGGAGATGAGCAGCGGCGGCAGTATCAAACAAGTTAAAGGTTTCAACGGCGCGCTTCAGGAGGTGCAGGGGCGAGGCACATTCGCCCTTCTTGGAGAGGGGGGCGGGCGTGTCTTGGAGTCGGACGTTCTATACGTACCTAAAGTGCAGGCGAGCCTTCTCTCTGCTGGGCAGTTGCGTGATAGTGGCGTGCAGCTGCTGGATGCAGGCGACGTGACTCTGCTGCGGGCACCAGACGGATCGCTTCTTGGTCGTGCAGAGTTCAAGGGTCGTGTTCTATGCACGAACTTCCAACCATGTTCAACGCAGCAAAAGGAAGGCAAAACGGTGGCACTTCGTACCTTGACGAGGGGCATGCCGTCTAAGGCGGACATGTGGCATGCGCATATGGCGCACGTTGGCATTGATGCCATCGAGCGCACTGCGGATCACGGGTCAGTGAAGGGCTTGGACCTGGAGAAGGGGGGCAAGTCAGGCATACCTTGTGTCTGATGTGTTGAGGGGATCACTCGCCATACTTTTCCTTCTGTAGGTGAGGAAGAGAATGAGCTGCTTGGAGTGGTGCATGCTGACCTGTGTGGCCCTTTACATGAAGCAGCTAAGGACGGCAGCCGCTACTTCCTGGTGCTTAAAGATCGCAAGTCACGGTATGTCTGGGCCTACCCTTTGGCTCAGAAGAGTGATGCGCTGGCGGCGTTTCAGAAGTGGCTCCCAATGGCTGAGCGACGGTGCAAGACCACGGTGCAGGCTCTGCGCACTTATCGGGGTGGCGAGTTCCTTGGACACGACTTCACACTCTTCATCGATGGAAAAGGCAACATCCACGACCTCACAAGCTCGTACATGCCGGAGCAGAACGGGATGGCCGAGAGGGAGATGCGCAGCATTGTGGAGGCGGTGCGAACGATGCTGCTGCACATGGGCGTGCAGCATCACTGGTGGCACCTAGCGCTGGGGCAGGCCAAATGGGTGCGCAACCGTGTGGAGCACGCCTCGCTGCCATCTGGTGTGAAGCCGTACGATCTCGTCTTTCGACACAAACCCGATGTCAGTATGGTGCGTGTTTAGGGCTACATGTTGTAGTACATGGTGCCTCAGTCGCAGCGTGGGGGGAAGCTGGCGCCTAAGGCTCGCTGGGGGTTGCACTTGGGGGTGTCAGTAGCGAGCAAGGGCTGGACCGTGCTGGACTTGGAGTCCAACCGCCTCATCACCACTGTGGAAGCTGTTTTCTATGAGACCATGTCCCTGGCAGGATGGAAGGCTTGGCACCAGCAGGAGCATGCGGGGCGTCCAATGCTCTATGAGCCCCTTCCCTCACTCTTCCCGATCACTCTTGAGAAGGCAGTGGAGGAGGAGGAGGTGGTCGCACCTCCTGCTATGCCCTATGTCCCTACCTCGGTCCCCACCCCACCTACTCCTTCAGTTTACCCTCGTGTGGTTCCCCCTGCCCGGCCTTCTTCATCCTCACACCCCTTGGCTTCCCCTCCTCCTCTTATTATTCCCTCTCCCCTTCCAACCTCCATCCCTCCTGCACCTGCTCCACCCTCCTCTTCATCTTCCACGGCGCCGCCCGTTGGTGAGGGGGGGATCGTGGTGCCACCGTCTGTGGAGATCACCGACGGGCAGCGCCTTATGACTGAGCAGGACGAGAACAGTATGGATGGAGTGCAGAAGAGTGGGGGGCAGGAGATAGGGGAGCAGCTGACAGGGGAGCAACAGATAGGGGAGGAGCAGATTGGGGAACAGTAGCAGCCAGGGGAGCAGCAGACAGTGGAGCCGTAGACAGGGGAGCAGGAGATGTGGGGAATTAGAGATGGTGGTCGTGTGTTGGCTTCTGGGACGATCACTGCACCGCTGCGTCGCTCCACTCGCATCACTCACGGTATCCCGCCTCTTAAGTATGCTTGGGCTGTAGTGGTTGAGCTGGCGGGTTTAGATGACGAGGAGGAGGACGAGGAGTGGACGGATCTGGACCCAGATGTTGTAGCTGACCCTGAGAGACAGTGGGACATTCGCAAGATGATAGTGAAGAAGGCCTTGGGCTGTTGGAAGGGCGACAAGGTGAAGGAGGCGATGGATGAGGAGATGCGGAGCTTGATTGAGCAGGGGACGTGGGAGTTGGTTCCGCGTCCGCCAGGGGTGAATGTGATGAAGAACCGCTGGATTTTGAACACCAAGTTCCGACCTGATGGGGTAGTAGAGCGTGAGAAGGCGCGGCTGGTGGTGAAGGGGTTCACGCAGGTGGCAGGGGTGGACTATGAGGAGACGTACGCCCCTGTGGGAAG